AGACCCAGAACGGCTCTGTAGGATCCAAAAAGGGTCAGGTGGGAAAGGAAGAGAGGAAACAGGGGAACATGGAAACATTGGGGTTAAATAAATGAAGGGGTGGGGAGCCAGGGTTGGAAATGTTGGCAGTATTGCATCTTAAACATCAGACTCGACTTGTTGCATGGGCCAGGTGCACCCGGCGAGGCCTTCGGCTCACTTCTGCTGTTTCCCCAAACACAGGAAGGCTGTGCTGGTGCCCTGACCCACATTTCGGGGCCCGAGCACAGCCTCCCTGTGCCAAGCCCTCCCAGCACTCATGCACGTTCCAGCAGCAACCTGCCAGCACCCCAACTCAAAAACATCACCAGAGACGGAGCCCCCGTGCCCTCTTCACCCTCCCTCTCTCCTCCCCAGCACTCGCAGCACGCTCCACCAGCCGCAGGGCGGGAGCTCCAATGCTGTGGTGATGGGCACAGCAAGGACACCCACTCCCAAGGCCCGGCCCGGGGCACCCTCCACTCCCCCGTCTCCCTTCAACAGGTAATTCCCACTCCCCAGCTGGCTCCCTGGGCCGTTGTCATGTAAGTCACATATTACACACCGACGTTGCCTTTCTGCAGTCAAAACTAATTTCACGCTCACTGTCCAGGACTAACAGTGACAGATGTTTTGCAAAATGAAAGCCCATTAATCTGACTGTAGAATAATCCATTTTTCTACGGAAAGCGTTTGGCAGGCTCCTCACAAGCCGAGGGCATCTGAAGCAGGCAGCAACGGGAGGCGAAGAGACCCTCTCCCTCCACCCATCCCCACCTCTCGCCCCCGAGCAACACGGGAGGCCGGGTGAGCAACCCCCTCCATGAGCATCCCTGCTCCCTCAGCATCCCTGCTCCCGGCACAGGGCTCCGTCCTCTCCAGCATCCTCTCTACCACATAGCTCACTTGTTGGGTCTCTCCAGGCTGAGCAGGGAGAGGGCTCTGGGTCTTTGGGTGCCTTTGCACGCACCCTTTTTTCTTCTCCAGCTGTGCTCAGATGTCAGGGCTGTTTTGCATGTCGCTAACAAGGTTTTAGAAGGAGGCTTAAGGCAGTTGCTGAACTTTATCCCATGGCTCAGTCACAGCGTGGTGTCCGGGGTTTCTTCTGCAGTTGTTTCACGCATGGGATTTTAGTGCTGTGCAAGGTGGCAGGACCTGGAGGAGCCAAGGGAAGCCTGGGGAGTGCAGCATCAGCGAGGGCAGGGGGTCCCCACCTCCCCAGTTGCACATGCTTAACTTGGGGGATCACTTTCTGGAGTCAATACAGCAAAAAGGTGACCAAGGACAGAAGCTGAGCACAGAGGCTCTACATGGCTCCCCTGGGAGAAGGTGCATGGAGGCAGCTCCGACCCATGAGCGAGAGCCAGCGGGAGGCAACAGCTCCCAGCCGGGGCTGTCATCCCACCCCAGGACCTGCGGGTCCAGGTGTGACCATGCAAAGAAACATTTCACTCTCTTCTGCTTCAGAAACAGACGCACAGGTCCAAAAGTGTTTCAACTCAACCCAAAAGGAAAAAAGCAACAAAGCTTGTTCTGAGTCAACCAAAAAGTTTCGTTTGTCCCCAGAATAAAACCTATTGCTGTCACATGCGCTGGTTTGTTTGTTCCACCTTCTCTCTATATGCACGCAGAGTCAATCTAGGCAGTTTTTGGAAATAAAAATGTCATTTCATCAAGGAAAGTCAAAACATATCTCTGTGCCAGAATATCTGCTTTTTTTTTGCTTTTTTTTTCCCCCTTTTTTTTCCTTCCCTTTTTTTTTTTTTTTTTTTCCTTTTTTCGCTGAGACTCTCCGGACGTTGCCGCAGGTGTCCTGGACTGTAAGGACCAGACTTGCTGGGAATGAGGGCAGCACTGGGACGCCAACGCCAGGCACTCCAACCTCTGCCCCAGGGAACCGGCGCAACTCGTCTCGGCACCAGTGTGACACCCCGTGGGACACGGCTGAGGCTCAGCAGTCCTTCACCTCCCCGGCTCCCCCGCCTGCCCACCCTCCTGGTCCTCAGCAGATGCCTTTCGGAGGAGCCTCACTTTTCAATCCAGCAATTTCTATATTTCCTGTCTCAGCAGCGACTCCCATCAGACAAGACGTCTCCGTTCATGCTTCCCCCTACGCGCCTGGGTCGGGGCTCCAGCCCCCAGTGCCACCGGGGACTCCCCTCCGCCAAGAGCCTGGGCAGCCCCAGTGGCACCAGCTCCAGGCTCCCCAAGCTCCCCCCATCTCTTAGCCCTCCTCAAACCCCTGCAGCGCTTTTGGGGTCTCACAGAGCCACCGTGGCTACTTTCACCCTAATTATGCATTTGCCAGAAACAGCCCCGTTTTCTGCAGCTTGCGCTAACCTTAACAGCTTTGCATCACGCCGCAGCAAGCCCCTTTCCAGCTCAGAGAGGAATATTTTTAGCCTGGAGTCTGAACACAGCCACGAAGCACTGCACAGTTAACCTTTTGCCACATCAAAAAATGACCATTTCTCATGATTTTGGCTCCTAGTCTCTTAATTGGTTTCCAACCCAGAACCCCACTTTGCCCCTCCGTTAATGACACTTGAGCTTCCTCAAGAGCCCTTTGAGGTGTGCGCTGCAGTTGTAAAAGAATTTACAGCTCC